CTCTCAGAGTTGCCATGGATACCTGCTTGCTCTGCTTGATGCTCATATTTCACCTGACTCCATCATCCCTTAGGCCCCTTTCCCAAGCTATTCAGTTGGTGATGAGTTTAATTTGACTATTTGACTTTAAAAAATACACACACACTTGCTTTGCTCACATGAACATGGCCTTTGTTTTCAGCTCTCTGAAATGCATAGCAGTTCACCATATTTCTTTCTTTCTACTTTTTTTTTGGCAGGTGTGGATCACACCCACCCAGACTTAGCCGCAAATTATGTAAGTTGTAGAGTTAGTACTTACACTTTTGTACCTCTTTAAATGTACACATGTGCAGATCAGCATAGTTACCAAATAGAAGATGATATTCTATATTCTGCATGCTTGAGCTCTAGAAAAACTGCTTGTGGATGCACAAGTGGAGCGCAAGTGCTTTCAGCGGTTTTTCTAGGCAGCAAAAATTGGATTATTTCCTTAGAAAATGTAGGAACACCATCTTCTATTTGGTTTAGAATATAGCACAGAAAAATGAAAATATCTATGCCTGAGAAAAGGCAGTGATTGTGCTGGCAACACAACATCCTGGACATACATCTATTAAAAAAATGCACACTCATCTCCAATAATGCGAGTATACAGCAGCTACATTTTATTAATGCGTCTTTCAATAACACGCGGACTCTAAAATTCAAAGCTCAACCAACAGATGCGTTTTTTGCTACTGTCAAGCAAATGTTCGTCGGCTCCTTGAACCTTCCACTACGTTGTTTGAACTGTGCTCAGCGATTTGATTTGATTACCGCACTCTCGGCAGTACTGGGAAGCTGGGAGGAGCCGCCAGACATTTGATTGACAGTAGCAAAAAACGCATTTGTTGGATGAGCTTTGAATTTTAGAGTCCACATGTTATTGAGGGGTGTGGTGAAAGTAAAATACATAAACTGTACCAAATGAAAGTACTGTTCAGTAGTATTCATTTGAACAGTCACACATAAAGATTTCTTTCACAGACTTTGGTCTTTTCACTGAGTGTGTTATTGTTCTTTTATCATTACAGGATCCAAAAGCTAGTCACGATTTTAATGATAATGATGATGACCCTAGGCCACGGGACACAGATCCTGATAACTGGTAATAGCTTAATAATGATTTTAATTTCATATTAATATATTTACAAGTAGTGTCTTACATGTACCCTTTTGCTTGCTGTGCAAGTTGCTTCCCAGCCCTCCTCCCCCAAAAAAATGCGTTTCCGGGTCGAAGTAGCCTCCTGCACAGATGTTCTTTTGGCTTGTCATACACTACCCCCACCCCAACAAAAAAATACATCAGAAGCCCAAAGAGCTTCTGCATAGGAGACTAGGGTTGAAATGAAATCGAAGGAAACAAAAAAAAAATCGAATTTGACTGCAAAATATATTGGTCTATTTGAGTGGACTCTAGGGTTTGAGGCCGACTTCCTGAGCTCCTCCATACTCTATATAAGGGTTAAACCCAGGCAGGAGAAGAGAGAGCGAGGAGGATAACTTGCATGTGCAGCTTAGAATACTGCCATTGATCAGCACTCTTTGATCAGCTGGCTATAATAAGAGTGCTCGCTTTCAGCGCGTGCATGTAAGTTATCCTTCTAATCTTGCAAGAAAACAGACGCCACGTGCAAAGTGATGACAACTTACCTGAGTTGCTTGTTGATCAGAAACCAGAGAAAAGAAGCCAGAAGACTAGAAAAACGGTTTTTTTTTCCTTTTTTCCTGATTCCTTTTACAGCCACGGCACGCGCTGCGCAGGAGAAGTTGCTGCCTTGGCAAACAACTCTATCTGTGGGGCAGGAGTAGCATATCAGGCGCATGTTGGAGGTATGATTTTGTCGGAAATAAATTTCGTTTATTTTTCTTTACAACATGGATCCTTTGTCAATGAAACTGTTTAATGAGAAACCTAGTACAGTTCAACCCCTATTAAACGGCCACCCTCGGGGAATTGGATAGAGGTCGCTTAAAGTGGCTGGAGCCCGTTTCTCGAAGGTCCCGAAGAGTTTTCGCACCCGGAAAGCCATAGCAAAATCTTGAACCTTATGATTACGGAGCTGTTTTATTCACGTATCCTTAATGTGAACAGAGGTTCCCTTCATATAAGAAATTTCAGGCGTATACACTTCTCCGTTGTTAGATACAGATAAACTAAAAATGGCTTTGCGGGCCCGAAAAGTTTCCAGGGCTTTCGAGAAATGGGCCCCTGGCCGCTTAATAGAGGTCAAAACAATACAGAAGCCCTCATAGGGGCCTTGATTACTGACCTCCTAATAAGGCTGGCCGTTTCAAAGGTGGCCGCTTAATAGGGGTTCGACTGTATTCCGATGTTGGACAATACCTTTAACTGCGAGAGTATTAAAGTCAAGAATAAGGAAGCATTCGTAAAGAGGAACTTACAGTAGTTAATGCGCTGTGATTTTTAGCAAGAGATGCAAAAAAAAAAAAAAAAAAAAAAA